CCATGTTGACCGTCATGGTCAACTTACCCTAAAACAGTTGAGATTATCTGTCCTAAATGAAATGCATACAAACTCATATACAGGTCCTAGACTAGTTGAGGTTCGCCATAAATTGTTGAAAACTTTGATCTTCATTTATTTTGGTAAGATGTTGAAAATTTGTACTATTTAAACGGCCCAAAAATAGTAAACATGCAGAAAACACCCGTACCCGTTTGTCGTTTACGTGTAGACCACGGTTTACCGCGGGGAAACGGGTAGGAATTACGGGTAAAATTGCTGACATCAGCAAAAATTGGTAAACAAAATGGCGATATTCGTACCAGTAAACCGGAACCGGGGTATCTTAACCTCTCTATTGTTTTTGACACGAGAACATATTAAATCCATATCTTCTCGCAACCGTTTAATATTCTGTTTATTATATGGACTTACTCAGAGTGACAAAAATACACACAAAGACGACATGTAAATAAGCACGCGAAAGACCAGTAGAAAAGCGATATTTTTTAAAATTATAGTGCGTTTATAAAACTAGAATAAATTTTACTTATCTCAAGATGTCTTTTAAATGTTTTCGTTTTATTTCCAACGTTAATTTCGTTTTAAATACGAACCAAAGACCATTCGTATTTTCAAAACAACAACAATGAAAATGGCGGGAATTTTTCGAACTTCGTATGTCACTAGCAGGGGTGAAATACGGAAAATACGCGCACCTGGTCCAGGATGTAGTGACGTATGAGTTCTACGAGTGTTTTAGTTCCCAGTAAAACACCATTGTCCATATAATAAAGAGATTTATGAGCTTTGAAAGTCAAGCGAGCTCGTATATGATCAAATTACGCAATATTACTAACAAATTCCAAACATAACATACATTTCGCCGAACATAACTTCGGCCCCTTGAGACGTATGCTCATTGTAATAGTCTTGTTCGATTGAGTATTCAAAACACTATTTATAGCGTTATTCTCAAGCTTCTATCTTTAAATTGTGATCTCTTACTGCCCGATTTAAATTTCTGCTCCGAGTGTGCGATAATCCTAACCGGAAATACGACATTAAATGTCAAAACAATGTGACGTTTGTATGAAATGGATTCTACAGGTCAAAGTGCACCTATACGCGTGAGTTTGACGTCATCCCAGCTAAAGAAGCTCCTTATTGGCCAAGTATTGCGCAATGCACGCGCGAGAAAGTAAAACTCGATATTTTGAAAAATTCGAAATAAATATTTCTAATCGCCGTATTCAAACGAAACTTTCTCCACTAAAGCGCATGAATATATAATAATCCGAATGATATGTGGCGTGTGTGGAAAACGATCTTTAATAACGTAGTGGAAATGCATGCTCCTTTACGGACGAGGCGGGTAAGACTTTCTAAGTCGCCTGGATCACGCCTGAGTTAAAAAGACATATGCATGAAAGAGATATTTTAAAAATCAAGGCTATTCGATCTAAAGATATTTATGACTGGGCTGCTTTTAAGAAAGCTCACAACTCTGTGAACAATGAAACTAAATTTGCGAAGAAAGCCCATTATATGAATGCTTTTCATGGAAACGAGAGTAATGTGAAAAAAACTTGGGGTATTATTAATGAATTAACCTCAAGAAAACAAAATCATTCACATGTAAAAGAGATTAAACTAAATGGTTCTTCAGTTAGTGACCCCCCGGGGTTATCAGAGACGTTTAACACTCATTTTGCTAGCATTGGACCTAAGCTTATGGAGAAGATACCTTGTGATGAAAATAACTGCTCATATTTAGAATATCTCAATTGCCATATTAGTGGTAATACTTTTGAGTTGAAGTCGTCAACTTCATCAATGGTTTGTTCACTTTTGGACAAACTCTGTAAATCTAAAGCAACTGACCTAGATAAAATATCTGCTAAGCTTCTTCGCTACTGTCCTGACCTACTGTCGGAATCCCTTACCGTAATTTTCAACTGCTCTATTAATACCGGTATCTTTCCTGATGAATGGAAATGCTCAAAAGTCATTCCATTATTTAAACACGGTGAGCGTAGGGACTTGAACAATTATCGCCCAATTTCGATAATCCCTGTTGTAGCGAAGGTTTTCGAGCGAATTATTTATGATCAAATCTACGTCTGGGCATACAACATTGACCAAGGCCGAGTTAATGCTGTAGTTTTCCTAGATCTTAAGAAAGCGTTTGACACGGTTAACCAAGGAATCTTACTATCAAAACTGAATGCGTATGGTCTTGGGGGTGCTGTGGGTAATTGGTTTAAGTCTTATCTAAGTGACCGCAGTCAAAAATGCTATGTTAATTGTCACCTTTCTAACAATCGTACGTTACTCTGTGGTATTCCACAGGGGACTATTTTAGGACCATTGTTATTTTTACTGTATATAAATGACAAACCAAATTGCCTTGAGCACTCCCAGGCACGAATGTACGCGGATGATACTAATTTAACATTTGCAAGTAACAATATTGACGACATAAATTATCACCTTAATCATGACCTTGCAAATGTGAACAAATGGCTTATCGCCAATAGGCTTACTCTAAATCAATCCAAAACTGAATTTATGCTAATTGGCTCACGACAAAGAATAGCCACATTTCGATCAGTTCCATGTTTAGAAATAGACGGGGTTCCTATTGACAAGGTTTTACAAGCAAAGTCTCTCGGAGTGTACCTTGATGAGAATCTATCTTGGAATATACAAATTAATGAATTAACAAAAAAGATTGCTTCTGGTATTGGCGCTTTAAAACGTGTTCGATCATTTGTCCCAGTCGCAACATTGCAATTAATTTTTAATTCCTTGGTTCAGCCATATTTCAATTACTGTTGCACAGTTTGGGGCAATTGCAACAAAACCCTAGCTGAAAAACTTCAAAAACTACAAAATCGTGCAGCGAGAGTACTAACATTCTCCAGTTATGACACTAATGCTGATGTTTTAATTGAGAAACTTGGCTGGAAAAAATTATCATCTCAGCGCCAGTTTCAAAAAGCTGTCATGGTCTATAAATCATTAAATGGTCTTGCTCCTGATTACATGCATTCCATGTTTGTAAACCGTGACAGTGTTGATCCTTATTCGCTGAGAAACACTGAGAACAAACTAGCTGTTCCCAAGCCCCGCACAAACTATCTCAAGAATAGCTTTAGCTATAGTGGTGCGGTGCTGTGGAACAGTCTTCCGATTGGGCTACGGCAAGCAAATAACTTGATAAATTTCCGATCGGGCTGTGCCAAATTATTTTAACTTTCTTTGTATATATTGTTATATTAGCTTAGTACACGGCCCTCATGAAAAGCAGGTATTATATTTTCTATTTAGCGTTGTTCTACTTTTGTAATTTATCTAATTTAGTTTGTTGCATGTTAAATCCTGATGAGAATACCGTTTGTAAATAAAGTTTTAATAATAATAATAAAATAATAATAATAATAATACAAAGAGAATTTTACGCATATAGCCTTTCTAAAAATGACGAAAAGTTAGAAAATATTCAACTTTTTCTCGATATGAAACACAGAATGTTTGGCCAAGCAGTGAGTATAAATAGATAGATAGATAGATAGAAAAACTTTATTTACCCACGCTAACCCTGTCAACCGAAGCTGATTTCCACAGGGGGCGTGTACGAAGAAAATTACAGTAATAGGAAAGAAATTAATTACAGTAGTGAAACGTAGTTACATTAATAGTTATTTACAAATAGTAGAAATAGTATTAAGAAGTACAAATAGTATAGAAATAGTATAATAGTTATTTACGAATGGTAGAACTATTGGTATATTTATATGATTGTTTCGGTTTGTGCCTGTTTTGACGGCACCTGACCCCCCCCCCGTTCGAAAGGTTAGTTTGTGAGGATTTCAATGGTGGCCTTCGTTTTAAAGGGGGGTAAATACTCGCCGAGATATTTTCATTAGAAAAATTGAATCGTAATGTAATGCGAAACCAGTTACTGAGAAAGAGTTTTAAACCATTTTAATGAAACAAAAAACAATAGACACTTCGAAAATTGTAAACATTTTTATTCTTTACGTTTCGACCATAATTTAGTTATCTTCAAACGAAAGTCACTTATTTTGAAAAGCCAACTATTTGTAAGCTAGATGCTTGCGCGTTCAAAGTTTGATAACGTCATATAAATGATAGTCGAAACGTAAAGAATAAAAATGTTTACAATTTTCGGGTTAATTTACTATTGTTTTGTGGTTTATTAAAATACTCTATGGCAACCGCTATTTTTGGTTACCATTTTATTCGTTTGAATGAAGTGAATTAGTTGAAGTAAAAATTTTATTAAATAGTTACGCTCTTTTATTTTTGGTTTAAGATGTTTGTGAATGCATGAAAATAAATTTGCTAGACTAATGCTCCAGTGAACGAATAGTTATAAAAACGCTTCGAACTTTGTGTGAGAGGTGAGTTGCCACAATCTCAACAAACGACAAAATGGTCGCCAGAGAACGGCAAAAACAGTGGAAAACATCGAATGGTTGGACAATATCTAACGCAAAATTGCCAAAGATCTGCATTGCGTGATGCATACTAATATTTGCCTCTGGAGACTAACGAAGGTGTACTTTCTGTTTCTATTAAATGCGTCTAAAAACAGGTCATTGCCGCATTAATATTTAATATGCCGTTTTTGGCTAATTATCAGCACTTTCGGATGTGCTTACTCATATTTAAACACAGCCACATCGGTCAGTATTTCATTGCATACCAAATACACACGGCGTAGGCCTATATCAAAATTAAGCACAGAATGCAATGCACCTTGCTGGAATGCAGTGAATCCTTTTAGTTTTTAAGTTATTAATACCAAATGAAGCTCATGAGGAGAACCTTTTTGCGCCACCTGGTAGCCACCCGCTCAGGCGAAACTTAGCATCCATCAGCGAGTTAAATTTGTTAAAAGTAGTTCTCTATTGTAGTCTAATTCTTTATTACAAAAATTTGCACTTCCTGGCGTTTATATAAATTTCATAGTTAGACTTATGTATAATTATAAAACAATCACAAGTTTTTAATTAACTTTTTCCGTTTATCAAAACCCACCTTCTTTAGATGCGTCGAAGCAAAAATCAAGCCCTTTTCCAAATGATTGTAAATTCAAAAATATGATGAACCAAAAACTCAGAATGATAGGACCAAAATGTAAAATCCAGTATTTACAACACTCGCGGAAAACCCTTTTTACAATATTCTGTTGAACTGGTGTCATCTCGGTTTAGAGAAGGTGTCCCTTGGCCTGAGTCCAAACTTGTCAGTTGTTTTAGTATATATAGTAATTCTATCCTACAAATCAGTATCTATTTATGGACATGCAGGACAGTGTTTTTCCAGCAGCAAGACTTGAGTATTCATACATCAAAACGTTGTCCAATGTTATCGAACCTCCAGCACATTATATACTAAAAATATACTTTTAACGTATACATTATCATATGATTATAATACATTAAAAATTTAGCACACAAATTTCTGATATAAGTAGTGTACACTGTAGTTGTATTTTGGCACGCATGTCATGCAGGGAATATTTAACAACAAGGACGAATATTGTTCTCGACCAATCAGAGCATTTGTTCACATTTTGGCGCTAAGCCAATCAGAACGCGTACATTATGAAATGATGCACATGTACTGTAGAAAAAAAGCAGCTCCATAGCCTCCATGTTGTTGTTTTATTGTAATAAATAGTCAGTAACTACCATGCATGCTCGAATAACTCATGAATAATTTCAGCCCTGATTTGAAACGATTTCATGACAAGATTTTGAACTCAAGGCCGAGTCCCTGCTAACTGAAGCATAATTGAAACCCCGGGGTTGAACTGGACCCTGGCTTGAAAATTTTGTCATGTAATCGATGCGTTTGATTGTGATAGAGTTTTGTATTACAGACATTTTACAGACATACAGGTACGCAAGTCTCGAAAAGAATACTGCTGTGCTCCCTTGTTTATATACGTCAATTTATAGCAAAGGATACACTTTGCGTTAGATTTTTTGGATAAAAGTTGCGAAAATTTCATTTTAGTAGGTCAAATAAATTATTGTAGTTGGTAATTTTAATTTTGTATTGTATGAACACACTAGAGCGGCGGGCAGAAAAATTTTTTGGGATCACTTTAAGGCTTGGTTACCAAGCACTGAACTATATATGTTGATATGTGCAATGGACCACTGAACGTTACCTTTACTTTCTCTAAGTATATGAGTATATCGCTTATAAAGCAATAAAACGCAAACAGTAACACAATCTGATAAGTAACTGAATTTTATGATGGACACTAAAGTGCCTTATAATGGTTGTCAAATAACATATTGTGACATGTATTTATATAGCTCAGTGCTTGGTAACCAAGCCTTAAAGTGATCCCAAAAAAATTTTCTGCGAGCGGCGGTTTAAAACCGATTTATCAGCAAATATCGCTAAAAGACCTAAGTTTCGCAACTTTTATGCAAAGAATCTAACGAAAGGTGCATCCATTGCTACAAATTGACATATTGCTACATATTGACATAACGCTTACCTCGACCTTGATAATTCCGCATGTCACAAAAACCTCATCCAATATTGTTAATAATTATCTCCCATTTCATGAGGTTAATTTTTTGTTGAAGTTGCTCTCAGAGTGCTGCAAATGGCGTTTCTGGGGTTTAAAAATAAAATATTTCCTGTGGGACAGACCCCCTAGGTGCCTCGCGCATTCGCAGCTCGCAAAACTAGATTGTACATCCGAAAACTTTGACTGACGTACGAAAAATCCTGCATCCGCCATTGCCGCCTCGCCTGACCCGAGATCTCTGGTGACCTGGCTGGACACCGAGAAATATGCGAACCGCAGCAACAGCGGAAAACATG